TGCTGGCACCATCTCCAAAATGCAAACACTTCTTGAGAGCTCTTGGAGGGCAGGTGAGGTACCAGAAGACAAGGAAAAAATGTAAACATCATGGTGTCTAAATATAGAGGGAGAAAAGAGCAGTAAGAATTATAGACCAGTCAACTTCTAGAAGCTAGAGGAGAATTGAACTATCAATCAAGCAATCTGCAAGCACCTAGGAGATAAAAAAGGAGATGAGTGACATCCAGCATAGATTATACAAAAATGAGGCATGTTAAACTGATTTCATTTGGATTCTCAGCAGATGTAGGAGAGGAATAGTTGGTGCCATAACTCAGTTTTGGGAAGGGTTTGACTTAGTATAGCTTGACTTTCAGAAAGTGACCTGGAAAAACAGTCTAGATAAAACTACTTCAGATCTTACACAAAAATGGATGAGTAGCTAACTCATTCCCAAAGAATACAGTTACCAGGGACTTGTGGTGAGAGCAGAGGACTCCATGAGCCAGGACTCTGCAGGGATCTGGGTTGATTTCCTTCAGAATTTTCATCAGTGAAAAATACGTGAAAAGACAGAATTGCATCTGTCAGTGTTGTGGAGCTGGGAGAAGTGCTTCAGCACATCGGAGGATGAGCTTTATGGCTTAAAATGGTCTTGTCAGGTTAGAGGAGTGAGGACTGGGTCTAGTCTGGTGCACTGTGCCTCAAGAAGGAGGAGGGCTCATTTGGAAGAGGTGTACAGAGGAGTCATTGCATTTACTAAACCTGGCTTGGGTTGGAAGGGCTGCAAGGAAAGCACCAGAATAGCTTGTCTGGGATTGGAGCAGGGAGGAAGGAAACTGTAGCCTCTGCTGCAGGAGGTTTTCAGGATTGATGGACAAGTATTCCCACCAGGAGTGACCTAGGCAAACTGACTGCTTGCTTGGATCAGCCCCAAGCTGAGATCCAGCCCCACCGTGCTGGAACTGTCATGTGCTTTGTTCAGAGCTGCTGTTCCACCACCGCTGGGAAGTGCTGTCAGCAGGGACATACGGCAACATTATCTTTGGCTTTGCCTTTTGAATATGTTCGTTTTATAGTGAGAGGCTGAAGGAATGTAAGTGCTGTGTTGAAGCCAAAGCAAGCTGCTACGCAGAATGCACCCCCTGTTTCCATGTATTTCATTTACTTTGTAATTAAGCAGTAATTGCTGAGGCACACTGGGTGCTTCTTCAGTATTAATGACTTGCTGGAGGACGGCAGAAGATCTGGTCTGCATTTTCCCCAGCAAACGTCTGTCTGTTAATGCCATTCTAAAACAAGTATGACAACATAACATGCAAACACATGGGGTATGCTGTTAGCAGCTGAGGAACAGGGAGCAGTCATTCATGGGTGCATTAGACAATCAGGTTGCTTCAGTTGTCTCTCACTGTTCCACTCAAAGCAGGGTGTTTCATTAGGCACTTGGTGAATGAAATGGCTTTTTAATTGCTCAGAATCACTTTTTAAAATTCCAGCATTGTCTCCCCCTTCCACAGCCCCCTTGATCCTCTTAAATCTCTTTTCTTCCTTTGCCCTGCAGAGAACCGGCTCCAGCGTGGCAATGAGGAACCTGCCTGCAGCAGTTCCCTTTGTATTTCAGAGACAGGCAAAAATACAAGCCGTTTAGAAAGAGAAGATTCACATTTTTAGTGGTGAAAAACCTGTGTTCCAAATAATACGCAGGTTGCTTAACGAGTAGCCAGCCCACCCTGCCTGAGTCTTTAAAGACTTCCCAGTCTTGGTGCACTGTTCACGTCTATTAGTTCCTACACCCTCTGCATTTTTAATGGCTACAGCTCCCTACAGTATCCAAATCCCATTGCTTCTTGTCTCCTGAGGCACACAACCTGGGTCCAGCCATGACTCATAACAGTATACCTCCCAAGAGTGTTGTTGGAGCTTTAAATGCCCTCAAGGCAGTAAAGCACAACAGCAGACAAGAAGGTGTATCCCAAACGGGTGAGCAGCAGCATGAACATTTCCAAAGGACTGTGGAAAAAGCTGCCATGGAAGCTCAGCCGTCAGCTTGCCAAGGCAAGCAAGAGGAGAGACATTTGCTGGAAGCATATAGGACAATAAACCAGTTCACAGTGTCCTAGCAGGCTTTGGAACAACACTAGTCAGTGGGGATTTGCTCGCTCACATATTAAGTAATGTGCATGATTGATTAATCCGTAGGTACTTCCTACAGCAAAACTTCAATCCTGGCATCCGCAGTGCTGCTTCCAGTCCCTGTGGCTGCCTTCCCAGAGAGATTTCAAGGAAGAACAATTGGGGTGATTTTTCTCCACGCTCTTTTCTGCCCCCTTGAAAAGTAATGCCTTTATGGCTGCTTTGAAGGATGCCAGCATGCTGCCCAGTCAGCAGTATGGCCACTGAGGGATCAGTGAGCCACTCTGCATCACTTAATTCTGCCCCTTCAGCACAAGGAGCCCTATTACTTGATATGGAGCTTGCTGGCTGGGAGTATTTAGAAACACTGAGTGTTTAGAAGTGAAAATGTCAGGCAATAACTTCATGGCACAAAGCCATAGATTCTGAATGTGACCATTCAGCCCTCTTTTTGCCGTATCAAGACCCTAGTTGATGCCTGTCAGTGAGAGGCAGAAACAAAGCCGGCTTGAGGTACGGCACCACTCTAATCTCCACCAGCATGATCAACGACTGGACCAAGCAGATCTCAGCTGCATCCTCTTTCTCACCCTTTTCTTCACTGGCACAGGCTGCTCAGAAAAGCCGTGGCTGCCCCATCCGTGGCAATGTTCAAGGCCTGCTTGGATGTGGCTTGGAGCAACCTGCTCTAGTGGAAGGTGTCCCTGCCCATGGCAGGGGATTGGAACTGGGTGAGCTTTAAGGTCCCTTCGAACCCAAACCAGACTGTGGTTCAGTGATTCTTGCCCCACTCTTATGTTTCCTTCTCTTAGTTGACGCAGAAGCAACATGCAGTTCCCCCTGCCCCAAATCCCAACCCCGAGCCAACCAACCAGAAAGAATGAATTATTTCTGTGGATGCTTTTGCTAACCGCCTGCTTACCTCCCACAGGACCCCCACTCTGCCAAGCTCATTGCTGTCATGCTCAGAGCTGGGAGGAGCCAGCACTGTACAGTCTCCCTTGAATGTGAACAGGACTGATGCAGATCCTTATGCTTTGTGCCAGACATAACTCTTCAGGTTTGACTACAGCTTTTGACAAAGAACACATTTCCCAGAAGTTCTGCAACTTGTCTGAGTAACAGTAAATGATCCGTGAGACCCAGTGCTGACACACAGTTCTGCTGGCTCCCCTCCTTCCCCTGTACTCAAATGCTGCTATTCCAAACCTCGGCACAAGCACTGGCCAAAAGCTACAGAATTCAAGGTCTGCTATTGCCCTTAACTCCTAATCAAAATCAAAACTAGCTATAGAAGGAATTTTGACAAATTGGCAAGTCTTCTAGTAAGTCAGAAAGGTTTTTCCCCAGCCCTGCTCCTCTCAGCCTAGTTGAGACAAACCAGCAGCCCTTTGTGCTGTTCCCAGCACCATTCCACCTTTCTGGAGCTAGGGTACCTGAGCAGGGGGCTCTGCCGAGCTCCTAGGATTAGTAGCTTAAAATTTTCCTGGACAGCAGGTAATTTGAACTACAGCCTGTCTTAGGCTGTCTTTATTTGTAGTTATATATTTCCAGGACTCAGAGGGTGTTCGAGCAGCTCCTCCGTGGAGCTCAGTGTTCGATGATGTGTGAGCAAAGGTTGTTGTGGGGAGAGCAGACGGTTGGCCACTTGTATTAGAAAACCTTTCGTGAGCTGAGCATCCGGGGAAGTAAATCTGTGTCTTTGTCAGCATGTTTCTATCAGCTATGTTTTTCATGTAGTCATCTGTTAACAACACGGGGCTGGCATCCAGCCCTATTCTTCAGCACCATCCCAGCACTGTATCTATTACAAGCTCACTGTGGCTCCTGCTAGCGCTGCCTCTCCCCAGGGGAGTGCAGACACTGGTCAGGATCTTGTTTGGTGTGCATCTGATTTAGAAAAAAAAGAAGCAGAACTCCATGTTATAGACAGGATGAGAGATTTTACCAGTGACCAGATCTCTTACTGAAGGACTCTCTCTTGTCCAGTGAGATCTGAGGATGAGCAAGCAAAGACTTCATTTTGGTGAAGCAGATCATCCTTCCTGCTGATATTTAAGAGACAGGATCATAATTTATGTCTTTACTGAGAAGAATTATTGTCAAGCACAATTAGCTCTGCAAATCTAAGCTGTCTTCTAGACACACCAGGCTTAGTTCTGCTTAGTTTTTGTGTTACTTAGAGTTGAAGAAATTATAGGGTCAATCTTGTGACCCGAGCAAAGGACTACAAGAACTCACTCCATCATTCCTTTTGCAGAGTTTAATAGAGACTAACAGAGCTATTGCTCCAGTGTGAGGAGCTGATAGGATGTGGTCTCGTTCTCACCAGGATGTGGGTGTCATTCCCACCTCACTTAGAGAGAGGATAACATAGCATGCTTTGAGGCAGCAAAACTCCCAGCACTGTTCTTAAAGGAAAGGTAAGGAAGCAGGAGACATGAAGGGTTGTAAATACCTTTTAAGTGCTACAGCTAAGTAACTTCTCATATCCATGCCTTTGTACCCCATGCTTTCAAAGGTATTTTAATGGTAGTTCCTTTTATAAGGCACCCCAGGTGCCTTTCAATTACTTGGGCACCCCCACTCCATGTGAACATGAGGCTCTCTGGGCTCTAGCATTTGCAGTTTGCCTGGGAGGGAGGTACCATATGTACCAACCCTGCACAAAACCTCCTTGAGAGAGAGCAAAAGGGATGTTAATTCTAGGCACTGGGCTCAGACACACGACTGGTGAACAACCAGAAAGGTTTAAAAAGAAATGCTGACTAAATTAAGTGAATCGAGCTGGCAGATGTGCTCTTCAAAAGAGCTCTCTTTGAAATGCCTCCCCCATTGAAATTACATTCTCAAGAGGTTTTTGTCCTTTGCATTTTCTTCAGGATCATCCATGAGGATGGCTTCTCTGGAGAAGACGTGAAGCAGTATAAACCAGTGGTCTACAGCAACACTATACAGTCACTGGCAGCGATTGTACGTGCCATGGATACCTTGGGCATCGAATATGGTGATAAGGAGCGACGGGTAAGTTAAAATCACTACTGCTTGAGTACAGAGAGCTGAGCACTTGGAGGCTTCAGAGCACAAACGGGAAGCATTTGCACAATCTGAATACCTGGAGAGAAGAGGAGGGAGGGGGGAAGATCTACATCACTGTTGTATGCCTATTGCAACCAACCGAGGCACAGGAACAATTACATATGACATGCCATTTGTACGCTTATCCCAGGAAGTGTAGCCTTGGGGACGTGAATGTCACAACAGCCACAATCTCTCGTTCCCTGGCACTAGCCAGGCCAGTACATAACAATTCTGTTACCTAGGGACAGCCTAGAAAGGGGTACTGACAGATGTGGGGAAACAGGAAGAATGTGCTAGATCCACAGGCTGCAAGGAGAGGTGTCTCAGGAGAAGTCTTGCTGCTGTTCAAATTCCCTCCACCACCCTGCCCATGCAGGGAAGCTTTTAGGATTAACTTGACTTCTGTGAGGGCTGGACTGGCTCTTACATACCCTCAACAGCAATTTCACTTGCAAACAAGGGGATGTATTAACTTCAGTGAGGTTTGTATGGACAGCAGGCAGCAGCATTAGCATGTATCTTATCAGAATAACCGTTATGTCTGGCAGCCTCCTCATGCCACACACCTAGGCGAGTCTGTCCTTTTACAGTTGCCACTCTGTTGTTCCTTTAACCAGCATCCTATTTTTAAACAGTGGCTCTTCTGTGAGGTGCCCCTACCAGCCTCTGCCTTTCCTTTTCGCATTTCTGGCTCAGGCCAAGCCCACACAGAGAAAGTCAGAGCTCTAGAGAAGTCAAGACCACCCATTTTGCGTGCTGCCATCCCAGAGAAAGTAAAACTACTTGGTTTCACTGGAATTAAAATAATTTCATATTAAAGACCTGGTAAAGGCAAAGTCCTATACGCCACTGAGTTAGTCATGACTATTTTTAGGTAGCTGTCAAATGACAGATGTATGGCATACCCCAGACTCCTTATCTAAGGGTTGATAATAAAAGCATTCACTAGAAAGAGCTCCAGAATCCTGCTGTGGTGTTACTGTATGAGGAGGTACGTTGTTTCTCTCAGTTGCAAAGGGGTATTTTGATTTCTTTGCATGTAGCGATTTTTCCCACAGGAACTCCAAATCCTGGAGACGTTTCCATCTCAAATGTAGAGGTGATACCATAATGGAGTTCTTGTGAGCTTGCCGAGAACTAATGGGGATGGCTTTCAAACAGAATACATTAATCTGTTGATTACTCGGTGACTCAGCTCTCAGCAAGGCAAAATATCTTGTCTCAGCTAAAAACCTATGCCCAGGAAAACAGAAACAAATCATTCTCCATGTCTGATAAACCGTCTGTGGCAGACAGCTTTGATATGTAAAATTTCTTTTTTCTTAAATAGCTGAAGTCCTAGTTTGAGCAGAGAAGCTCAGCACTGCTTTAGTGCCAGGGCTGGCAAAGTACAGGGCATGGAGGGGGAGACCTATTAACAGGTCTGCCAGGAATAAGAGATGGAGTCCTAAGCTACGCAAAACGTCGTGTCCGTTGATACTGCTGTGGGCAACGTCCCAAGTGTTCCTGGGATCATACGATAACTCAGGATGGAAAGGAGCTTGGGATGTGTCTCACCCATCCACCTGCTGAAGCAAGGTCAGCTCTGAGGTCAAACCAGGTTGCTCAGGGCTTTATCCTATCAGGTTGGAAATCCTCTGATTTTGGGGACTGCACAGCCTCTTTAGCAGCCTGGACCACTGCTTTGCTGTCCTCTTGATGAAAAGGTTTCTCCTTATGTCTAGTGTGAACCTTTCTTGTTTCAGTTTATGCTTTTGGCAGTAGAGATCCTGAGTTATGCTTTGCAAAGTATAAAGCAAATTAAATCAAGTTCTCCCCAACATAGTTTCTCTAAGATACAAAGTCCTAGAGAAATTACTCCTGTCTTATAATGGTGTCATGCTGACTTTGTACAGATAAGCCTGCAACAAAACATTATAAACCAAACAACAGTCTGGGAGGGCAAATTCATAGTATCTTCTTTCATAGATGGGAGTAGTATTCCTTCATGTAGTAGTAGATAAAGGGGAAAGAAACCAAATCTTGTCGGCTGTGGTCTTCCACTTGCTCCTTTCTCTTAGTCAACCTCCACAGAAAGTTGCTGTTATTAGTATGAAACAGTATTTATTTTAATCTTACAAAGAAGCACATGGCTTCTGCTCCCCCACTTTTGTTATTAATGCACAGCTGCTCTAAAGAGAGACCATTACACAAGCGATTTGTTGAGTATTATGCTACATGGTTCATCCCTTTTCAAGCAAAGCTTTTCTATTTTAAAAGTCATTCCTCAGCCATGGGTTTCCAATGCAAATCTTTTAGTGGGGGATTTTCCCCTACTCATCACTTAAGACCCCAAGAGAAGAGAGCTAGGGAAGGGGACCCAGGGCTGCAGCTGCTCAGCCTGGTTCAGCAGCAGAGAAGGACAGGATTTCCTCAATGACCACTTATCTATTACAGCTTCCCCTACCCTGACTTCATGGGAGATGCGTCTGCCCCTGTATCCCTTCCAAGTGGCACCTTGACATGATTCAGAGCAAAAAAAGCCCCTCCTCTACTTAATAAATGTGAATGAGATTATTTGTGCTTTTGTTATTGAGGTAAAATAACTATATCCTCTCTCATTGTTCTCATTTTATTTCTGCCCATAATTATACCTCCAGTCTAATAGAAGCAAATGACCAGAAAAGTCCAGATTAACCCACTTAGCTTTTGTCAAAGTGAGATCAGTGTAGGAAATATGAGCTAATACATCAAAATAAATCACAAAAAACATATGTTCCAGGTCTTGCTGACCTCTTTCCTGGTAAGAACCTGTCCCCAAGTTAAGAACAAAACAGTCTGCGTGTAGGTTTTCACTTTATATGTGCTCCTTGGTGCAGGTGAACAGGTTTTCTTGCAGTTGTGCTTGTCTCAAGGTTCATGGCCTGAGGGCAGCAGGTACGTCCCCGTTTTGTATCCTTCAGCACAGGGAGGTAGGAGCATATGACACGTTACCACTGTACACAACCCAGAAGGTCAGTCTGGAGCTCCAGAAAAGATGTAAAAGTGCTAAGTCACAAATCTTTTACATGTTGCAAGAGGGCAGGCAAAAAAGAAGTAGTCAGTGAGGAGACAGAATCTGGCTACAGGAGGAGCAGCATCCATGTGTGTTCCTCATCTCCAGGGCCATCACTGCCCAAGGGCTAGATCACCCACTAGCCGAGAGCAAGAGGGTACATGGAGGAAGAGGGGCAGAGGCTTAGTTTTGCCTGGCTACACAAGACCCTCTATTTGGCCTGTAGGCCACTGCTTAGTCTTTACCTTTATAATCAGATTAACAGCAGGAGAGTCAGGCCATAACATACAGCCTCTGGATTAAACCGTTCTCTAAAGTGCAAATGTATTAATAAAGCAAGCAGCAAGCTCCTCACTGATTCCCTTTCACTGCACCCAGGCGGACTAAATGGGAAATGGAGATTTAAAGCCAGGAATCCAGAAGCTGACACAAGTGTTTGGATCTGATCAAGCAGGAAGGGCAGGGAAGTGATGTATTTTCATTTCTCCATTTGAAGAGCCAGTTTCATAGTCTGGCTTTAGAAATCCCAGCCAGAAGCAGCATAAAGTCTCTTCCTTTGTGGGTCAATGCTGACCTCAGGAGCTGCTTGGAAATGCAGTGCCTGTGATCCCACTGCAGGCTGGTATGGAAACCGCTGTAGATGTTAGCATAAACCAGACAGAAAAAGGCTGAAATTGTTCAGAAATCACTCAGCAGAGAATCCCAATATCAGCCGTGCGGCTCAGATACAAGTGTCTGAGGTGGCAGGGTCACAGGTCCAGCACTCAGCAGCTGGAGGTGGCAGGCAGTGACTTTCACATTGAACTTTTTTCCTAGCAGGAGTCTGGAAATGTCTCTGTTTCAGCTATGAAAGGGAAATCTAAAAAGCTGCTGAAGCATTAAAAATAATTTGTAGCAAATTTTTTTCTTTCAGGCAAAATGTGTCTGTGGTGACCTTATACTGTATATAATGTGTAACTCCAGAACTGGGAGCTAAGCAGATATGTACCTGAACATTTTAAATACTGGCTAGTGATATGAAAAAAATAAATCAGTTTAGTGTAATTGAACAGCCCTCTGAGGCAGCTGGCAAAAGGAGCCACGTACACTGGAGCTACATCTAACCTGCTTCTGAAGAGGATGGTGCATGCAGAAATCCAGAGCTTCCAGCCCATTCCCTCTGCACATGCCAAAGGTAATTTTAGGAGCTGCCCTCTTCCTCTCGCCTCTGCTTGGTGGTGGCAGAACCAGGGACACAAAAGTGTCACCTCCTGCCTTCCAGTCACTGGAAGGGAGCAGTGTGTAGCAGAAAGCTCTCTTTTGTAAGAGCTGCTCCTGTGCCTGGCTTTTCCTACTTGTCAGCTCAAGGCAGTATTGTAGAACTGTCTGGGTTGGAGGGGACCTTCAAAGCTCATCTAGTTCCAACCCCCTGCAATGAGCAGGAGCACCTTCAACCAGATCAGGTTTCCCAGAGCCACATCCAACCTGGACTTGAATATCTCCAGGGATGGCGCATCCACCACCTCTCTGAGCAACCTGGGCCAGTGTCTTGCCACCTTCACTGTAAACAGTTTCCTCCTCACAGCCAGCCTGAATCTCCCTCTTTTACTTTAAAACCATCACCCTTCATTCTGTCACAACAGGCCCTGCTAAAAAGTCTTTCTCCCTCTTCCTCTAGTTCCCTTTTAAGTACTGAAAGGCTGCAGTAAGTTCTCCCCAGAGTCTTCTCCTCACTTCTGTCTATTTAGCCAAGCTGGCTCCTACTGCGTGTCCCTGACCTGAGCTCTCTGAAAGATGCCAAAAGCTGTATAACTTTGGGGAGGGCAAGTGAGGTTAATCAGGCACCACCATGCTGGTAGGAAGTCCCAGATCGCTGACTGGTACCTAGTGGGGTGGTCTGTGGTCTGGGGGTGAATGTGGTATTCTTGGG